TTTTTTTTTTTTTGGTACAGGGACTCTGTGTATTCCATCTTCTTTGATGCTTACTGCATCATTTAATATTTAACCCATAGAATCCTTCAATATTGCAATTTGAGGCTTGATTTTTTTTCTTCAGTTCTTTCAGCTTGAGAAATGCCAAACATGTTGTTCCCTTTGAGTTTCTAACTCCAGGTCTTTGCACATTTCATTATAATAATTGATTTTGTCTTTTAGAGCTGCTCTTTGAAATCTTCTTTCAGGTCTTTTATCTTATCAGTTCTTCCATTTGTTTTAGCTACTCCGTTCAAGAGCAAGTTTCAGAGTCTTTTCTGATACCCACTTTGGTCTTTTCTTCTTTTCGTATCTTTTTTTTAATGACCTTTTGCTTTCTTCTTATATTATGTTCTTGATGCCATCCTACAATTCATCTTGTTTTCAGTCACTGATGTTCAGTGCGTCAAATCTGTTCTTCAGATGGTCTCTAAATTCAGATGGGATATAATCAAGGTTATATTTTGGCTCTCGTGGACTTGTTTTAATTGTCTTTAGCTTCAGCTTGAACTGGCATATGAGCAATTGATTGTCTCTTCTACAGTCAGCTCCTGGCCTTGTGTTGCCTGAAGATACTGAGTTTCTCCTTCGCCTCTTTCCACAGATGTAGTCGATCTGATTCCTGTGTATTCCATCTGATGAAGTCCACAAGTGTAGCTGCTCTCTTTGTTGTTGAAAAAGGTATTTGCAGTGCATAAGTCAGTGGTCTTACAAAGTTCTGTCATGTGATCTCTTGCATCATTTCTATCATCAAGGCCATCTTTTCCAACTGCTGATGATTCTTTTTGTTTTCAACTTTCGCATTCCCATCACCTGTAATAATCAACACATCTTGATTGCATGTTTGGTCAATTTCAAACTGCAGATGTTGGTAAAAATCTTCAATTTCTTCATCTTTAGCTTTAGTAGTTAGTCTGTAAATTTGAATAATAGTATTAACTGTTCTTCCTTATAGGCATATGGATATTATCCTATCATTGACAACATTGCACTTCAGGATAGATCTTGAAACATTCTTTGTAATGATGAATGCCATGCCATTCCTTTTCAATATGTCATTCCAAGCATAGTAGACAATATGATTGTGTGATTCAAAATAACCAGTACTGGTCCATTTCAGCTCACTGATGCCTAGGATATCAATCTTTATGTGTTCTATTTCATTTTTGATAACTTCCCATTTTCCTACATACAGATTTCATACATTCCATGTAACAATTATTAGTGGATGTTTGCAGCTGTTTCTTCCCATTTTGAGTTGTGCCCCCTCAGCAAATGAAGGTCCTGAAAGCTTTATACCATCCACATCATTAAGGCTGACTCTCATTTGAGCAGTTAGCTCTTCTCTAGTCATATTTTATGCCTTCTAACCTTAGGGGTTCATCTTGTGGCACTATATCAGACAGTTTTTCAGAGCTATTCATAAGGTTTGCACTGGCCAGTTATTTGAGAAGTGGATGGCCCCTTCTTTCTTCCTCGTTTGTCTTAGTCTGGAAGTTCCTGTGGATCCTGTCCACTGTGGGTGACCTTGCTGGTGTTTGAAATACTGATGACATAGCCTCCAGCCTCACAGCAACACATAGGCCACCACAGTATGACAAACTGACAGATGAGTGGTGGAACAATGCTATATATTTAATCTTATTGTCTTTGTCCTTCTACTAGAAAGTAAGTTTCACAGGGACAGTGCTTTTGCCCATTTTATTTACTGATGGATTCTGTATGCCTAGAATAGTGCGTGGGAGCTCTGGTAGCATAGTGGCTAAGGCACTTGACTGCTAACCAGAAGGCTGGTGGTTCAAACCCACCATCCACTCCTCGGAAGGAAGATTGGGCAATCCTACTTCCGTAGTGATACTGCCTCAGAAACCCAAGGAGGGGTCGCTATGAGTTAGGTCTGACCCGACGGCCTACAACAACAACAACAGGATAGTGCGTGGCACATAGTTGATATTTGATATATGAATAATGATTGAGTTGCAGGTATTGCCTCATTTTACAGATGAATAATCTAGACTTTAAGGAGCTCTGCTGGCGCTATGGTTAAAGCACCTTTGGCTGCTAACCCAAAAAGGTCAGTGGTTCAAACCTGCCAGCTATTCTTCAAGAGAAAGATGAGACAATGTTTTTCTGTAAAGATTTGCAACCTTGGAAAACCCTATGGGGGAGTTCTACAATGAGTTGGAATAGACTTGATGGCAGGAGGGTGGGGAAATCTGACTTTAATTTTTCCTAGGCTCATACAACAGCAGGTGGCAGAATTTGGATTCAGATCTAAGTGTATATTTCTAGAGCCTTTTTAACTAATTAGAGCTCATTGCTTGTTCAGTGGCAGAATTCTTACCTCCCTTGCAGGACCTGGGTTAGTTTTCTGGCCAATGCACTTCATACACAGTAACCACCCATATGGCAGTGAGGCTTGTGTGTTGCTATGATGCCAAACACGTTTCAATAGAGCTTCTGGACTAAGAAAGACTAAGAAGAAAGGCCTAATATCCACTTCTCAAAATCAGCCAATGTAAACTCTGTGGATCACAGTGGCTCATTTTGAAACCAGCTTTGTGATTGGTGCAGGACTAGGCAGTGCTTCGTTCAGTCGTGCAAGGGGTTGCCATGAGTCAGAGCCCAACTCAATGGCAGTAACATTTTACTATTTATCTCATACTGCTTGTGAAGGAATGCTGAAAGCCTCGAATGCATGGTAATCCACAAAAGGCCTCTTCAACATCCTAGCAGTGTTTTTATGTACTGTATTTCCTATTATATTTATTTGCCCCTGTTTGTAACTAAGTTGATCATATTGATTGAGTTTTTAATTTCCATGTGATCCAGTTTGATTTACTTCATTTATTGGCCCACAGACTACATCACTAATTCATGCTTTTTTTTTTTAAAAAAAAGGGCAACCATGCAAACATCTATGGAAATCATTCTTGTCAAAAGCTTGTGATGTTAGTATCAAGAGAGATGTATGGAAGTATAGCAAATTTGTATAGGGTTGTTGATGGGTCATTATAGTGATTATATTTTCTTTACATATAGTTACTAAAGCTCAAGCAGTTGTTTATTGCACATGCTCAGTTTATCCAGAAGAAAATGAAGCAGTTGTTAAAAAAGCACTGGAATTTCAAGACCATGGGATTAAAGTACAACCTTATAGGTAAGAAAGGAAAGGATTCTTCTAAACAACTCAAGCAATGAAATATTTTTGAAAATGAAATTATGATTTTCTAAGCTGTATACAGACATTCTCAATGGCAGTGGGTTTGGTTTTCTTGGGTTTATACAGATATTCCACTTTCTTTTAGATTTGAATATATCAAATAATCTCTAAAAACTCACTGCCATTGTTGGATCCGACTCATAGAGACCCCTCCTTGGGTTTCCGAGGTAGTATCACTATGAAAGTAGATTGCCCAACCTTCCTTCTGAGTCAAATAACCTGCCTTCTTACAACTTGCAGGTAGATTCAGTAGAGTCTTCAATAACTCAGCACAAATATTTTTTCGTACCTTAAACATTCTTTTGTTTTTGTTATCGTTGTTAAAGTTAAAGGCATTTTGGCTTTGACTTGTTGGTTCTAGATAAATTGGATCCAAATTCATATCTGTTTTTAGATAAGCACATGCTTCAGTAGAAAAAAAATAAGTATAAAACTATGCTTAGAAAGTAAAGAGCAATTTGGATGTTTACTATCTGAAAATTTTATACATTTTTTAGGCTCTTTTAGCCTTTGGTACCCACCAGGGCTGAGGTAGAAATAGCCTGAATAACTATAGTTTAGGTTCTGGGTAAAATACTGCCCTAACATGGACTGCTAAAAGAACTAACAGATCTGTCCTGGAGGAAGTGCAGCCAGAATGCTCCTTGGAAGCAAGAATGGCCAGACTTCGTCTCACCTATTTTG